TGGCAGTTCTTTGCTTGGATTGGTTGTACAGCGCTCAAATAATACATTATGATGGTTGGACGTCCACATCATCTTCTTTATCATGTAATTTTTGTAGAGCTTTGGTTAGGCTCTACAAATCTGTTAAATTTAAGGGATACGGCATATCGGACAGCGGTGAAACAAGCCGCCGTTCGACTATCAGCAGGATGGACATGGTTGAACTTAGCCGTGATCTTGAGGTGAAGAATAAGTATCCGGAGCTGTACCAAATGATCATTGTAAGCCATTTTATAATGTCTAGTCTCTTTTGAAATGTAGAGCTCCTTACAGGCTCAACGACGAATTGGCTCGACGGAAAATCGCGATTCTGCTGCCGCTGTTCACAGTCGTGACGGTTCCAAAGATGATGATTCGAAGCAGCTTTTGTATGCTGAAGCTGTAGAACTGTTGAAAAGATGTCGTAGACAAGAGGCAAGTGAACTGTGATCTCTTTACAAGCTTGCTGCGAAGTGTTATTTTAGCGTCAACTGAGAGAGATGCAAAAGAATTACGACAATCTGCTTAGCGTTAACAAGCAGATCAAGGAAACTTACGTCAAGATTTACGCTAAGGCAGAGCAGGAAGAAGAATACATCTCTAACATATTACTAAAACGGTATGCTTTCGGACATCATCTCTTTTATGAGTGTTCTTTCTTTTCAAATTTGCTCGCGTTCTGTGCGAAGCAATCTTGCTTTCTTCATTTGGTTTTGACCTAAACTCTGTAGTGTTTTTTTAGCAAATCTTAGCTGTTTTGTAGGATCCAGAAGCTCAAAAATGACAAGGAAACTTTGGCTCAGAAATACGAACAGGAAGAGGAATTTCTCACCAATGATTTGATGAGAAAAATAAAGCAGGTAAATCCGTTTTCTTTGTTTGTGATCTGTTGTGGTTTTCCTTTAATTGAACATAATTATTTGATTGAAATGGTCACTGTGGAGTGTGCATGTCATAGAATACATTGCTTGCACTCGTATTGATATAACTTTCAAGCTATTTTGAATGAAATAGTTTAGTACAGCTGGTGAGATTCTCAGTGAATGTAGTGAGAGCACTACGACTAAATGTGGACTTTTAGTTGTGTTTTCTTATCTCGATCTAGGGCGGTTTTCGTTATGCAGTGCGCATGCATCACACTCCGTGCTCCACTAGCGACGTGCACTGTAAAAATACAAAGAACACAGCCAAAGCTTGCTCTCACAAGTTTTCTCGGTCCAGTAAGTGAAGGTTTTGATCTAGTTGCAATCCGAGCGTGATATCCTGGAGGGCAATGTCAAAAGCGAACAAGCTAGTGTGATCGACAGTCTGCTCACCACCATTCGTCGCATGGAAAGTGAGATGGCTGCAGGACGAAAAGTGAGTATTTCATTTTTTTCGTCCATTCATGTCGCTTTTCCTTCTACTTTTTATGTTGCCCATACGCATACCATCAGAAGCAGAAGTAGCAGTTTGCTTTGAGAATTTGATTTTTTTCTTGCGTCGGTAATATGGCCTGCACCATCGGATGATCTGATTGCTCTAGGGAACCTAATGTTGCAATGTGTTTCTTTCTTAAACAGAAGTTTTTTTTCTATTCAAGGACTTGTTGTTTGGTAGGACATGGCGACAGAATGTTTTTCATTCGGTGGAGATTAGTATTTGCACATTAACTTAGTTTGCGATAAGATTTGTTTGCATCTTTCAGAATATGGATCGAATGCGTAAAGAAAAAATTGACCAGGAAAATGCGCTAGAGCATGAGCAGGAACTGTTGTTCAATACTTTGGGAAAACAAATGGATCAGCTCAATCAGGAAAAGAGGTAAGTGATTGTTACACATTATATGTGCAAGCAGATCTGCTCCACCGCAGTAAATTTGTTCGCCAAACATTCTTTTATATTCATTGACAGAAAAATGCAAGCGAGCCTACAGAAAGCTTATCTGAATGGTTTTATCGAGCCTGATGATGAAGTTGTCGGCGCTCTTATCAATCAGAGGTAAGTGACAGGTGGTAATCTCGTGTGACTTGGTAGATGTGGTATCTGTTTGTTATACAACACTGTCTCGTGTTATCTTTTTTACTACGTCTTCCCTTTTGGCCATCTTTTCGATTACATTACTTGTTCAACGGTACTCGCTGTTGGATACAAAATTCCAGTGATGCAAACGAAAGTGCCCGTATGGATAGTGGTGGTAATCGAAGCGGAACGGAAGTGGCTAGGCTGAGATCGCATCTGAGAAGAGTGGAAATCCAGCTGACCGAAATGAGGGAGAGAGACGCGAACAGTAAGTTT